ATATGACAAGCCTACAGCTAACATTGCGTTCGACACTGAAGAGTTGAAAGCTTTCCTTCTAAGATCAGGAACAAAACAAGGATGCTCACTCTCGTCACTTTTATTAACTGTAGTATTGGAAGTCCTAGATGGAACAATTAGTCAAGAAAAAAAAAAAGGTATCCAAATTGGAAAGGAAGAAATAACTGTCACCATTCGCAGATGACATATTATATATAGAAAACACTAAAATCTCTACCAAAAAAGTATTAAAATAAATTCAGTGAGGTTGCAGGATACAGAATACATAGAAAACTGTTGGTTTCTATACAATAATAATGTACTACAAGAGAAATTAGAAAATAGTCCCATTTACAATTGCATCAAAAAGAGTAAAAACCTAGGAATAAATTCAACCAAGGAGGTGAAAGACCTGCAAACTGAAAACTCTAGGATATTAATGAAAGAAATTGAAAACACAAATAAATGGAAAGATATTTTGCCCCGATGGATTGGAAGAATATTGTTAAAACGTCCATACTACTCAAAGGAGCCTATAGATTCAATGCAATCTGTATCAAAATTCCAATGGCACATTTCACAGAAATAGAACAAACAATCCTAAAATTTATATAGAACTACAAAAGAACTTGAATAACCAAGGCAATGTTGAGAAAGAACAAAACTGGAGGCATCAAACTCCCTGATTTCAAACTAGATCACAAAGCTGTAATAATCAAAACAGTATGGTATTCACTTAAAACAGACATATAGATCAATGGAAAGAATGAAGAGCCCAGAAATAAACCCATACATGTATGGTCCATTAATTTACAACAAAAGATCCAAGAATGTATAATGGGGAAAGGACAGTCACTCCAATAAATGATGTTGGGCTACATGGACAGCCACATGCAAATGAATGACACTGGCCATGTTACACCATACACAAAAATTAACTCAAAATGGATTAAGATTTGATTAAATTAAAAATTAAGGACCGAAACCATAAGACTCTAGAAGAAAACATAAGCAGTAAGCTCCTTAACATCAGTCTTAGTGATTTTTTTTACTGGATCTGATACCAAAAGCAAAGGTAACAAACCCCAAAATAAACAAGCTAAAAAGCTTCTGTACAGCAAAAGAATCCAACAACGAAATGAAAAGGCAACCTACCGGATAAGAGAAAATATTGTGATCATATCCTTTTTAATGGGTTAATACCCAAAATATATAAAGAACTCCTATAACTCAATACCAAAAACACACACACACAAAATCTAAGGGCACTAATTCCATTGGTGAATGCTCAACTCTCATGACCTAATTGATCACCTCTCAAAGGCCCTAGCTCCCGAAACAATTATCTTGGACATTAGGTTTTCAATGTGTGGATTTTGAGAGATACAAGATGTAGACCACAGAAGAGGAATTAGACTCCACCTCTTTTTATTTATTTATTTTTTAATATTTACTTGAGACTGAACATGAGGGAGCAGGGGGTGGGGATGGGGGAGCAGAGGGAGAAGCAGACTCAGGCTGAGCAGGGATCCAGGTGAAGCGCTTGAACCCAGGACCCTGAGATCATGTTCTAAGCCAAAGGCACTTGACATACTGAGCCACCCAGGTGCCCCAAGACTCCACATTTTGATGGGAAGGGTATCAAGTTTCTGGAACAGCATGTGGGATCAAAAATATTGTGGATATTCTTGGAAAATATGCCCCAGAGGCTACATGAAGATGCAGAATCCTCTTGCTTCCAGAGATCTTTCAGTTACACATTTTATATCTGCCCTATTAACTTTAAACATCTCAGAGGGAAACTAATTCATACGGCCTACTATGCACCAAGCACTGTTAAAAGCACTGTAATGTGTTTTTGCTATATTAAGATTATTCAATTCTGCTGTAAAAACTGAAAGAAACTAAGTGTGAGAGCCACTGGATTGTAAGACCTATGGAGATTCATAAGATACGTTAAGTATAAATAATAAGTTACTAACCTATGAGGCATGGTAAAGACAAAATAAATGGAACACAATTATGTTGAACATAGATAAAAATAATGGACATTTTTACCCATTAAATAAATGGATATTCATTTATGAATATCACAGAATGTGATATGTCACATTCACAGACAGAAATGGCTGGAAGGAATAAGGAGATCTAATATATTCATGAGGTAAAGATCGTGTCATTTCCAGACTGACAACTATGTTATCCCTAAATCAGCCACCAATTGGTGACTTCCATTTTGGTCCCACATAGGCTCTTCTCTGGAAACACAGATAAAACACATAACTGCCCAGCAGGTTATTATAGGACATGTTACACCTGTGAGCAGGTCTGCTTGCTCCTGTATCTCCAAAAGAGTAAGCTGGCTTTACCTTCTGTCTGTTGAGATCCCTTGCTAATTCTTAACTGTTTTTTTTCTTTATAGGATTTGAGAGAGAGAGAGAGAGAATGAGTTGGGGGCGGGGAGGGACATGCGGACTGCCCACCGAGTGCAAAGCCCTATGAGGGACCCTAACCCAGGACCCTGAGTTCATGACCTGAGCCAAAGTCAGACACTTAGCTGACTAAACCACCCAGGCACCCCTTAACTCTGGTCTTAATAACTATACCATCAGTCAGGAAATGCGATTCAGCGTGGGCAGGATTATATGAACACTGAGTAACACTGAGATTTGGATTGTAGGGTCCTTCCTTTCAGCCCCTCTCCTCCCCATACCCTATCGTAACTGGTAACTACTCCAACTCTCTCCTCTTCATTATGTCTTTTTTTTTTAATTTTTATTTATTTATTTATGATAGTCACAGAGAGAGAGAGAGAGAGAGAGAGAGGCAGAGACACAGGCAGAGGGAGAAGCAGGCTCCATGCACCGGGAGCCCGATGTGGGATTCGATCCCGGGTCTCCAGGATCGCGCCCTGGGCCAAAGGCAGGCGCCAAACCGCTGCGCCACCCAGGGATCCCTCTTCATTATGTCTTAATTTAACTTAGTAAACTGTATAATTCAAGTAACTGAACTTGATCTGAACCTTTCTGTTCCATGATATCTAGGATGGCCAGATTAGCAGCGCAAGTGTACCTGGAAGCTACCATTGCAATTTGCCGCCTCAGTGAGTGCTTTGCAAGTAATATATGATTAAATCCACACAACGGATCTTAATAGGAAGGCATGATTATTCTTATCCAACAGGTGAGGAAATGGAGTCTCGCAGAGGCTAAGTAACTTGTCCAGCGTAGCACAGCTAAAATACAGGGCAAGTAGAATCCATGCCCGTCATGACACCACTCCAGGGTCCGTGTTCTTTTTCACTATGTGCATTCATTTTTGTTTCTTCAATAGCCAATACGAAGCCTGACATACGGTAGACATACTGTTTGATGACTCTAAGTGATATAATCCTTACTCTTAGTTTATCTACTATGTGGCCAATAAATTATCCAACCTCTTTAAGATTCGCTTCCTCACATAATTTGGCTACTACTTAAAGTCAGTAGATGTAAAACATTTTCCTCAGCAGCTGACCCCTAGGAATTGCCTTGACAGGGATAACTGGGGACGCCTGAGTACCTCAGTGATACAGCATCAACTGCCTTTGGCTCCGGGTGTGATGCCAGTTCCAGTTCGGGATCGAGTCCTGCCCCGCATCCGGTTCCCCGCAGGGAGCCTGCTTCTCTCCCTCTGCCTCTCTCTCTGTGTCTGTCATGAATAAATAAATAAAATCTTATAAATAAGTAAGCAAGAAAAGGGTAACTGTCATCCCCTATTCTAGGACAGATTTTACAAAGAGCCGTGGGGCATTTTCTGAGGTTCATTTTCTGTCCTATTTTACCACACTTCACAAGGCCACGCGCAGAACAGGCGCTTGCTGTACGAGGCAGGACGAGGTTCTCGCAACACCTCCGCTTCACACGACTGAATGCTTCACCTCACTTTTACTCGCTAAAGTCATTTTTCTCTCCTTGGTTGGAGTTATCTTCCCGTCAGTCCCCCCGGGAGGTGGGCGGCAGCCATTTGCACTATTGCGACTACGGGCGCACCGCCTCCGGCCACGACACCGGGGGGCGGGGGGCTCTGCTGCTTCCAAGTCAACGACCCTCAGTGACGTATCCTCAGGCGGCGGGTCCTCACCCGAGAGCAGCGGCGCTGCCGCACCCGCCTCGCAGGGGGTCCCGAAGAGGAAGCGGCTGGCGCCCCCTTCGCCCGAGCTCGGCAGCTACTTCCAGGAGCTTTAGTTTGTGGAAAGCATCTCCCCGAGCCTCCACAATTTTCCCGAATTTAGTCCTTTCCGCCTCTCCTCCTCGACCAGAAGCCCCACCTACTCCGTTCCCACTTTTCCCTCCACCGCTTCCTTCCGGTCGCTGAAATACGACACAGGCCGCCTTTCGTCCTCGTTAGTTTTCGAACAGCGCGGCTCTCGCCACCACCGCTGCAGGCGCGGAGAGCGCTCTCCGGCCGTCCTCCGGCGTGTGGGCTCGCCGCCCCGGGCAGGCTCAGGGCAGGCTCAGGGCAGGCTCAGGGCAGGCTCAGGGCAGGCCGACGGAGCGCCACGCACCGCGTCCCCGAGGCACGGAGAGGAGGCCGGGCGTGCTGGGGCACCGCGCGCGGCAGGGAGGAGAGCCGGGAGCCCGCCCGCCGGGCGGGGCCGAGGGCCGAGAGCCGCGAGCCGGGAGGCGAGGCCCGCAGGTTCCGGGCGAGTTCTTCTAGGGGCGGGGCGGGAGGCGGGGCTGGGGGCGGGGCGGGGCCTCCCGGAGTGGGCGGGGCCCTAGGGCCGGGGAAGCGGGGTCCACGCGAAGGTGGTGCGGGGTGGGCGGAGGCCGAAGGCGGGAGGCGGGGGGCGGGGGGCGGGGGGCGGGAGGCGGGGCCGGCCGGAGCAGGCGGTACCCAAAGGCGCGGGGGGCGGGGCTAGGCCGGCGCCGGGGGAGTTGCTCAATCCGGGGGCGAGAAAGCGGAGCCGGCGGGGGTGGGAGGGGTCTGTGCCGCTGGGGGCGGGGCGGGGCGGACTCGGGGACCCGCGGGCCACCTGGGCTCTGCCAGAGTTGGAGGTGGCCGGAGGCTCTCGGTTCCTCAGCTCCCGTGGCTCTGGCGGAGTCTGCGCGATGGGGGACCCGGAAAGGCCGGAAGCGGCCAGGCCCGAGCTAGATGAGGTAAAGGTTGCTGCGGTTCCCTGTCCCGCCCCATAGGCACGCCTGGCCGTTAGGTCGCAGGTTGCAGCGGGGTCTGCGAGGTGCAGGACCGCAACAGCGCATTTTACGCGTCGTGGTCGGCATCCCGGTGCAGGCCCAGCCGCGAGCCCTCGCCGCAGCCTGGTTCCGTGGTTGTGCGTGCCCGAGCGGCCGTGTCCGGGGAGGGGTGACGAGGGAGCCGGGCTTCTGCGCGCTCGGTCTGCTCCGGGGCCAGCCAAGGGCGACGCTCTGAGGTTTCAGGCCGGGCGGAGGAGCACCTCGCGCCCGCGTCCCCCTCTTGGTCGGCCCAGGGCCGTCCTCGCGGCTTTGCGCGTCTGGAGCCCTGCCTGGGGAAGCCCAGACAAGGGATGGGGGCAGGGGGACCTACTGGAGAAACGCATCCCATCTCTGAGATGATTAAAAGGAGTTGGAAGCCTGTGGAAACCGACACAGGTGGATGGAGTGGTGATGGAGCAGAAGGCGACGGCAAGTCCTCGCAACGGTGAAAAACGTCCGGTTAGGAGGCCACATTGGCTCAGACTGGGCCACTTAACTAGCAGTGACTCTTTGGGGTGTCACTTTCTTCATTTATACAGTGGAAGTGATACTTACCTCAGACGATTAAGGCAGAGGCTTTATGCAAAGCGCCACGGAAATTGTGGCTGCATCCAAAAACCCAAGTTAACATGTTTATCTGCGTCTGTAATAGAAGCACATAATGACAGTGAGTCCATGTACCCGACTGTTGTACGGTAGTTCAAATAGTTGCTCTGTAATTTCGTACCCTGTTACTTCGCGAATACGTCTAAACCATTTGTGTACAAGAGAAATACTTTTTTGTGTTGATCTCGGACCTGTTGGCTGTGTGTGATATCTTTGTTTTAACAGTTGCAGCTTACAGAGACTCATACTTAACCCCAGATTTATTTTAAAGAAGGTTGTAGAGTCCCGATTTGGGGTTTTATATTATTTGATTTTGATTTTCTAGACATTTAGTGCCTAGTTAACAGGTTGTAAATATCCCTCAAACTTTTTCTTCCCTCTTGTTTTCTTCCCCTTTTGAAACAAACTGAGTACCAATTTCCTCACTTGAAAAGGACATTTCAGACTTGTCTTTTTGTGCTAATGGCACCAACACCGTTCAGACTTAACACCTGGAAGTTAACTTTTTTTTTTTTTAAGATTTTATTTATTTATTCATGAGAGACACACAGAGAGAGAGGCAGAGATGCAGGCTCGCTGTGGGAGCCCAATAGCAGGACTTGATCCCAGGACCCCAGGATCACGACCAGAGCCAAAGGCAGACACTCAGCCCCTGAGCCACCCAGGTGCCCTATGGAAGTTGACTTTTACTTATTATCCCTTTCTCAATGTCATAGGCCCACAAAGAGGCAGATTTTAACTCTAGAATGAATTATAGTGAGCATCTGGTCCAAAAGTTTTTAACTTTAGTTGCAAGAATGCCTCAAGCACTTTGTTTCTCTAGATATGATGGTTCAGCATAGGCCATCTGCATTACAGTCAACCTGGAGCTGTAAAAAATGTAAATTACTGGGCCTACATTCCAGACAAGGTAAATCAAGATCTCTTGGGAGGGTCTGGGACAGCAATTTTAACAAGGACGTCAGGTGATACTGATTCACACTTTTTAAGAAGCACTTCTTTGAAGGGTTCGTAGATGAGCTTGGAGGAGGTTTATGAATTTCCTGAGAAAGGGGTCCTTAGCTTTCATCAATTTCTCAAAGTTAACCATCATTAATCTAATTGATTAGATAGTCCCTATTTTCAAGATAAGAAAGTTTAGGCCGGAAAAGATAAATTGACATGCCCAGGACCACATGATTCAATAGCAGAGCTGGGCTTAAGACTGATTTCTTGCTGGTGGGCCAATATTCTGTTGGGAATAGATAATGACAATGAAAGTGACACCTGGGCAAATACAAATAGTGTATGACTGTAACAATATCCAATAGTCTTCTTACCTGAGAAGAGAGGCCAAGGTAAACAAATGAAAATGGTGGAATTGGGGCTGGATTGAGAAGGAGGGCTGTAGCATGCCAGCCTACACCAGGGGATGGTGAGTACTAGCTGGGGAATCTGTTCTGGCATATCCTCTTGGGATGAAGTGACCAGAAACTAAGGCAGACAGGAACTAGAGGCACCGTTCTGGAAGACACAGTGGAATGTTGCCAAGAAATGCTTCTGTGTTCTGAACTTTATTTCAGGGTCTTATATTTCATAACTGTGCAGCTACAATGACTTGTTTACCTCCAGTCTTACTCACTGTTTAACTCTTTTTACCATTGCTAAATTAATCCTTCACTAAACCAGTGCCTCTATGTCATTCCTCTCAAGTAAAAACTCTTGAGACTGTCTCAGTTCCCACCAAAAACGTCCAATTCCATAGGCTGGCAAAGCCCTGTGAAGCAGCTTTTTTCATGCTAACCACCACATCTTTAATATTTTTATTTTATTTTTTAAGATTTTATTTATTTATTTATTTATTCATGAGAGGCACAGAGCGCGTGCGAGAGAGACAGAAAAACAGGCAGAGGGAGAAGCAGGCTCCATGCAGGGAGCCTGACCTGGGACTCAATCCAGGGTCTCCACGATGGCAACCTGAGCTGAAGGCAGCGCTAAACCGCTGAGCCACCCGGGTTGCCCTAACCACCACATCTTAATTCAGGCTGCCATGACATCTTTCCAAAGAAGACATAGATGCCCAACAGACACATGAAAAGATACTCAACATTATTCATCATCAGGGAAATACAAATCAAAACTACAATGAGATACCACCTCACACCTGTCAGAATGGTTAAAATTAACAACACAGGAAACAACATGTTTGTGAAGGATGCAGAGAAAGGGGAACCCTCTTATACTGTTGGTGAGATGCAAAATGATACAGCCACTCTGGGAAACAGATGGAGGTTCCTCAAAAAATTAAAAATAGAACTACCCAATGACCCAGCAATTGCACTACTAGGTATTTACCCAAAGGATACAAAAAATACTGACTTGAAGGGACATACGCACCCTGATGTTTATAGGAGCATTATCAATCAGCCAATTTATGAAATTTGTTCAAATATTTGTCAACTGATGAATGGATAAAGGAGATGTGGCGATACATATAACGGAATTTTACTCAGACATCAGAAAGAATGAAATCTTGCCATTTGCAATGATGTGAATGGAGCTAGAGAGCATCATGCTCAGCAAAATAAGTCAGAGAATGACAAATACCATAGAATTTCACTCATGTGGAATTTAAGAAATAAAACAGATGAATGTAGGAAAGGGGGAAAATGAAGAGGAGGCAAACCATAAGAGAGACTCTTAACTATAGAGAACAAACAGGGTTATTGAGGGGAGGTGGGCAGAGGGCGGGCTAAATCAATAATGAGTACCAAGGAGGACACTTGTGATGAGTACTGGATGCTGTAAGTGATGAATCATTAAATTATACTCCTGAAACCAATATTGTACTTTATGTTAACTAACTAGAATTTAAATAACTTGAAAAAAACTAAATAAAAAAATTCAGGCTACCATTTGCACCCCTGAGATCAATACCATGGTTGCTACCAAAATCTATGTTTTGTTTTTTTTTTTCCTTTTCCAGCTCATCCTGGATAGATAGCCAATGAATCCTCCTGATGCCACCCCTATACATGATAATTTATATTCAGAAACTCTCTATTACTATCCAGAAGAATGCTTTTCAAACAGCCCTACAGTGAATACCAGTACCTGGGGGTTAGGGGCACGTAGTTAGAGTTGGAGTATGAGCCTCTCAGTCCCCCAGATGTTTGAAAATCTTTGGCCCACAGAATTAATTCCTAACCTCTTACCCTGATTGATATCCAGAGTGTGGATTCTTTACAGAATTCTTCTCTATTTTGTCTGTTGACAGAAATGGCTTTAGCCAAATCAAATCACTTCTGCTTTTGCTTTTGATTGTCCTATATCCACCTCAGTCACTTTTAATCACAGCTGGTTCCTCTTCTTCCACCTGCCCTTTCAATTGTCAGCATTTTCTCGGCTGCATACTCAGCTGTGCTGTTTCTCTATATTTTCTCCCTGGATAACCCCTTTGGTGACTAATAGTGGGATGGATGGCCACCATTCATCTGCTGTAGTGTTATATTTTTAGCTGCCTACTGGATATCTTCAAACTGATCAAATTATGTTTTTTTATTGACCAAGTTGAACTTTTAAAGACTATTGTGTTTGTAACTATTGTTGTTGTAGCTGGGGTTGGTGGGGGAGTTCATTCAAATTAAGCTTTTATTAAACATGAGATGCAAGAGTTTTTGTCTGATTTATTCAGTTATTCTCCAGATGATGAGCACTTTGTGTCTTTTACTTCTTGCTGTGATCATCCAGTTGTTGGACATCTCAAGGACATCTTCAACTCTTCTTTATTCCATTCTCCAAAATCCAAATTTTTTAGCAAGAATGATTAATTCTACTTCTGAATCTCTCTCTCTCTCTCTCTCTCTCTTTTTCTGAATATCTCTTAAAGCAGCTTTCTTTTGTGTTTCTACATCTGGTACCCTGGTTCAGGCAAGATTTGGGTAGGATAATGATCTTTTCATTGTTCTCTCCCCCTGCAATTTCTAATCTGATCACATTTCTAGATAAGTGATTTTTTTAAAAAGATTTATTTACTTATTTGATAGAGAGAGTGGTGGGGAGGGGGAGAGACTGAAGGAGAAAATCTTTAAGCAGACTCCCTGCTGAGCAACAGAGCTTGAGGCGGGGCTTGATCTCATGACCCTGAGATCATCACTCAAGCTGAAACCAAGAGTCAGATGCTTAACTGACTGAGCCACCTAGATGCCCCTTGGTTCACTTCTGAAAAACATATACATATGGTTACAGGGTTTATTGTTGTTTTGTTTTCTTTTTAACTACCTTTCTCTAAATCTTATGCAGTCTTCAATTAAGCAGAGATGGCTAGGAAACTTTTATCTGAGGTCATCCAGAAAAAAAGAAAAAGAAAGAAAGAAAGAAAGAAAGAAAGAAAGAAAGAAAGAAAGAAAGAAAGAAAGAAAGAAAAAGAAAAATGGCAGCCTGGAAACACAAGTTCATGGATTGGTGGCTTTCTTTCTGTGTATTTTGGAATATATCTGTTATTTTTTTACCACTATTTTAACAGCTTAACACATTTCATAGTGAGATCTTAATCTAGCATTTGTGACATTAGAGGGACTGCAGAGTTCTTTAGAACACATTTGGATAGTCTCTGATTGCTTTCTGGTTTCTTCTTCCATTGTCCCCCACATATGGTAAAGTCCAAACTTAGAAGGTTACTTCCAATTCTTTAAAAATATCATAGGACATCATGTCTTTTTTTCCACGTTGTTTTCTCTTCTAAAATATGAGTTGTTAGCTCAGGTCCATAGAGGATATTCTAGAGATCCTAGAGCTTTGGGATGTATGATCCTCTTGACATTGATTAAAATGTGTGTGGATTTTTAAAAACATCATGAAAATAAGCAATATATCATCTTTAGCTCAGTTCAGATGTTTGTGTTGGTTATACCAGCCCTCCTCTCTTCACATTGCAAACTCTTGCATAATGCTCTCCTAATCCAACTTCTTCTTAATAACGTACATATTATCGGAACGGAACAGGAGGAATGTTACATAGAAAAATGACTTTCATTCTAACTGAAAGATGCTAGTCTTCAGCAGTTTCCATAGATAGTGACATTGATCAGTTATTTAATCAGCATTTAAAAACTCCCTTCAGGGCCAGGGTGCTTGGTACCAAAGAGTTACTGCTTATGATGGTTCACATAGCAAATACAGTGAAGGTAAGGAGTTCCAGCTCTGAATGTATCCTTGTACCCCAGGGACAAAATATATAAAGGCAACACAAACAAAAAACTTGACAGCTTCTATTTTAAAAATTTGCTCAAATATTTAGGGAAATGAATGTCAACTACATGCCAGCTCATATGTCAGGTTCTAGGGATTCCACAAAAGTAAAGTTACCTTTTACTCTCAAGAAGCATAGTTTGGAGGGGACTCTAAATGGATAACAAGGAATTAAATTGCAGTGAGTTGTGTACTATGTGAGGTATGCAGTGAGTTATGTGTTTAATCCAGGCCTTTAGGGTGATGGGGACAAGAGAGATATGGGAGTACTTAGCAAAGGCTTGATTTGATGGTTATCTCACTGATGTATTGTGGTCATATGTTAAATTCAAAAGGTATCCAGTAGCCCAAGCACAGGATAAAGAGAAATTAGCCGCCCATTCACTTACTTAGCTAACGTTTATTGATGTTATGTTTGGGAATGCCATAATAAATAAAAAGTAGTTTCTACTCTCCAGGGCTCAAGTTCTTTATCTGGGGAGGCCTACACCTTCAAATAAGTAGTTACAAAATAAGACAGTCTCTCTACTATGATGACAGTATGTGTGCAGTGTGCAAGCCCTACCTGGATCTGTATAGCCTCAGGCTTTGATTTTGATTTTGAGTCTTTTTCTCATCTTGCCTTGCCTTAGCACACTTGCTCTGGAGAGGTGTGGTTGGTGGAAGCGATGATAGGGATGAAGAAATGTGATTGGCCTGACACTGGAGAGAGACACCGTCAGTTTGAGTTAGGCGTCCAGATTTTAAATATATGCCAATAATCTTGATTTATACATTTTTAGCCTAATTGTATATACTTTGTGTATATTCATTCTCATGCAAGGTATAACTCTTCTGATACTTCTGATATATATATATGTATACATACATATCTGGCACTGTCCCCTTTTGGAATGCTATCATTTCCAAATCATGTATATATAAGTATGTGCTTCTCACTGGATTCTACAAAGCTTTGAGCCAGTCCACAGTGAGACCATCCGTAGTAATGCTAACAAATAAATAGTAATAGCAGATTGGTATATGGGAAAGTTCAGATGAACAAAGGTTGCTAAATTGTTGGTAAGGAGTTTTCAGGTATGTTTTACAATAGTTCAGATTAGAAAGAATTAAAATAGGAAAGTAGGGGTGCCTGGGTGGCTCAGTTGGTTAAGCATCTGCCTTTGGCCTAAGTCATGATCCCAGGGGTCCTGGAGTCAGGCACCCTGCTCAGTGGGAAGTCTGTATCTCCCTCTCCCTCTCATCCTTCCCCCTGCTGGTGCTATCTTAAATTAATAAATTTAAAAATCTCTTAAAAATAAATAAAGAAGTTTATAATAGTAGCCTATTCATGCCAGCATCTGATCTCTGAAAAAAGGCACTGAAGGGACATTTTATGCACAAACTTAGAAATTTGCCCACCATAACATTTATGGATCTAGTTTTGTGCTTATCTTAAAATAGCAGTAATGACAATTTTGCTGCATGCTTATTATGCACCAGGCTCCATTTAAAGCACTTTTAATCATCAAGTTTAACCTACAGAGTAAGGGTCATTTTACTGATAAAGGCAAACCAAAGCTCAGAGAAGCAACTTTCTGTGGTTACACGACTAACCAAACACTATTAACCAGGTTCCAGATAATAGTAAAGGATTCAACCCAGGCAGATGGACTCCTCAACCTGTGCTGTCTCTCAAATTACCCCCAGTATGTGTTTAGATACGAATAACGAGGGCATGTCTACACAAAATGGATGTTTGTACTTTATTTTCAAAGAGGTTATCTTCAGATACCAATGAAAATGAAGTGAAATCAGATGAAGAGCCACTCCTACGAAAGAGTTCTCGCCGATTTGTCATTTTTCCAATTCAATACCCTGATATTTGGAAGATGTATAAACAGGCACAGGCATCTTTCTGGACTGCAGAAGAGGTAAGTGGCATCACCTTTGCCAGCAGGCACACCCCATAGTAGAGTGTTCATATCTTCTGTCATGGGACATTGAAAAATGTTAACTTATATTGTAAGATACATGTAACTGAATAAAATCAGTTATATACAATAGTGTCTGAAATTACTGAAATTAAATACAGTGTTCTCCAATGTTTTATATGTAGACTGTTGTCTATAAACACGTTTCCCGCTGCAAAAATGGCTTCTCAGTCTGCCAGGTTTTTACTTCCAATGTATTTTAGAACATTTTCTATTTTTAAATAGCCTTTTGATTTCCTATGACCAAATAAGATTAGTTTTTACTTATGGCCAGCAGAATAAATAAAATTGTGCTATGGCCAAAAAATGAGAGTGAAAGCCCTAGGGACCCTGCTTTTCAATGACTTACCTGATTATGCAGAAAGAGCTGTGGCAGAGAATTTGCCTGCTCAGGCAGTGCACTCTCTTCTAAGCTGCCAGCCAGAGCTCCTCCTAGGCTACCCTGTCCTCAGTCACATCCAGTCTGGCACTGCTGCCTCAGCAGCCGGGACTGTTCTGGTATGCTGTATGTTAGGGCAGCATTTTCCATCTAGACAATGATTTGGACACAATAAATGAGGAAATACCTGCTGGTTTGGTAAAGACAGTTGGTCATGTAAGTGGTTGCTCTGTAGTCTAATTGAACACATAGTCATTGTCTTCATCTTTCTCTGTGTGTATGTGTTCACTTATCTAGATAAATAGATAAATGAATAGATCTATTTAGATAGTTATATTTGGATCTCCCTATTTTTCAGAAGATTGTTTTCATACACGTAAGCACACACTGTTGAGAATGCAGACTCTGGAGCCAGAATGCCTAGGTACAAAATCTGACTCTACCACTTACTAGCTATGAAACTGGAAAAATTGCTTAACCTCTCTGTGTATCCTCATTGGAAAATTGAGCTAATAATATCTGGTTAACTGGGTTATTATAAGGATTACTGAGATGAATCTCATGAATAGAATTAATGAGATGAAGCTCATGAATGAGATTAATGAGATGTTTAGAATGTCACATGGCATTTAGTAAGCACTAAATAAATATAAGCTATTTCACACAGAATGAAGGAGAGTTACAGTAGAAATCAGAAGACACCAACTTTTGAAGCTTTGATTACACTAATTTTACCCATTTATCCACTTGTGTTATATTGGTAACATCTTTGTTATACTTAGTTAACAAAAAGAGCAAAAAATCCAAAACAAAATAAAAACTCAGTATTTTCTAATTGGGTCATACTGCTTGGCACACCTGATTATTTTTAACTGTGGTTTTTAGGATGTGTTTTTTTAGATATGGTTAACAGAATAAATGGAGTACACAGGTGGCTTTTTCATTCATCATGTTAAAAAGCTACTTGTGATACTTGGGTTTCTTAAAATTCATTTGTAAAGTACTTGCATCTTTTAGCAAATGTAATATATGTTGTATTATAACTAAGAAACACTGATTTAAAAAATTAAAATACAAAGGTGGTACATATTTTGTTTGTTTATACATTTTATTTTATTATTTTATTTTATTTTTTAAAAAGATTTTATTTATTTATCCATGAGAGACAGAGAGAGAGAGAGAGAGAGAGAGAGGCAGAGACACAGGCAGAGGGAGAAGCAGGCTACACGCAAAGAGCCTGATGTGGGACTTGATCCCAGGACTCTGGGATCACGCCCTGAGCTGAGGGCAGATGCTCAACCTCTGAGCAACCTAGGCATCCCTGTTTACACATTTTAAAAGGAAATGAAACACATATAGTTCCGTGTATTTTTCCTTTAAACAAATTATGTCAACCTTAGACTTCATTGTTTTATCTGTGGTGTAGCTTTATTCCTAAATATGACCAATTATCAGAAACCTTGATTCAGAAGAAAAAGGTCTAGGATTTTGGGTTTTTCTTTTAAAGCTGCCAGACAATTCTAATAACTAGTAGTTTGGAATCAATATTTAGAAAGTAGAATTGAGAATTTATTTAGAGGAGAAAAAGCTGAGTAGGAACGTTTACATTTTAAGAATGGGAGATGACCAATGTAGTATAAATGAAATTCATAAGCCTTTTTGAAGTGGAATGGTTGACAAGGTAAGTTTAATATTTAAGAATGAGTATATTATAGTATAAAATTTCATATCAGGAGTATAATATATAAAAACTAGGAAGGTGTCTGTCAGTTAATCCTGATTGAGCTCTTAAGAGAATAGGACCTGATATTTAGTTTACATGTTTTAAAAGATATATACAAGTATACCCCCCAACTCCATTGTATTGCCAACACTTTTTTTTTTTTAAGATTGATTTATTTATTCAAGAGAGCAGAGTTGGGGAGGGACAGAGGGAGAGGGAGCGGGAGAGGGAGAATCTCAAGCAGACCTTCCACTGAGCATGGAGCTTGATGTGGGGTTCGATCTTATCACCCTGAGATTATGACCAGAGCTGAAGTCAGATGCCCAACTGACTTGACCACCCAGAGGCCCCCCCTCCTTCATTTTCAAAAATATTTCTATTTCCAGAGGAAGCCATACCTGTAAATTGCTTTATAACCTAGGTTGTTACATGCCAGATACTACTTTCTGGGTATAAAAGTAGATTAGCTGGCAGTACAATAGCAGCTACTATTGCTTAACGGGTAGCTAATTTAACACTACAGTAAATTATATGCCATGGTAAAGCAATGGCTGCTGAAAGTCACTAGTTTATTCTGCCTCAATTAGCCAGAATATAGAGCCCTTCATAATACTTTTATTGTATTGTGTTCTTTTGTAATAGTCTTAGTCAATTTGGGTTGCTATAGTAATACCTTAGACTGGATGGTTTACAAACAACAGAATTTTATTTCTCACATTGCTAGAGGCTGGGAATTCCAAGATCAAGTCTCTAACAGGTTTGGTATCTGGTGAGGTCCCAGTTCCTGGTTCAGAGATATCTGCTTATACTTTGCATTCTCACATGGCAGAAGGGATGAGGAAGCTCTCTGACAGCTCTTTTATAAGGGCACCAATCCCATTCATGAGGGCTCCACCCTCATGACCTAGTAACTTTCCAAAGACTGCACCTCCAAATACCATCACACTGGGCATTAGTTTCAAATATGTGAATGGGGTGTGGGGGCGGGGGAGGACATGAACATTCAGTCTATAACAGTTATGTTAACTTTTTTTTTCCTTTTCTTCCTTTTTCATTTCATTACTGCTAATGAGATGGCCTTCCCCAACATTGAGATAGAAGTTAGTTTTCCAAACACTTTAAGAAGAATTAAACATCAAGTTGAAATTTTTGAAAATCTTTTTATTTCAGGTTGACTTATCAAAGGATCTCCCTCACTGGAACAAGCTTAAATCAGATGAGAAGTATTTTATCTCTCACATATTAGCCTTTTTTGCAGCCAGTGATGGAATTGTGAATGAAAATTTGGTAAGATTTTTGTTTTATTTCTGTTCTCATTCAGCAGCTAAATGGTGATAATGGCAGTAAGACAATTAGACTAAGCCTGAAAAACGACTTCTAAGAAATGAACTAGATAGAGTTTAACTTTCAAAGGTGTTTTTCTGATGAAGTGTCAAAGAAAAGGATAGATTTCTCCCATTTGACCAGCAAAATATCATGAAATCAAACATATTGTACCAATCAAAACTACTTAAAATGCGTAGACATGATTTCAATTTTTACCCTTAGGTAGTATTCTTAATAGAGAGCTTGCACATTGAAAACCCTTCTGGAGCTCTGTAATAAGGCACTGCATTCTGGCTCCCCATTTTTAAACTTGTATCATGGTTGGCCAGGAGGCTTACCTTCTTGTTAAAGAGAATTAGATAGAAGGGGCTTCAATCAATCTGTCTGCTTTTGGGGAAAATAAAGACCTAAGGTCAATTTTACAATGCAAAGTAATTATTTTTGATAGCCATTCTATAATACTTGGCTTTATAGGAAGTATCTCCACCTATCAGGTCAATTCATTTAATTGCTTGAGAATACATTAGGCAACTAATTTATTGTAAAAGGTTAATAGATAATACTGCTTAAAGTAACCTATAAATTCTGTCTAACCTATTTTTGGCATGACAGGTAATTTTTAAGTGATGATTCTGATGTCCAGATTCTGATTTGCAGTGTTTAATTAGAGCCCACAGAATTGGATACGTTTCCCTTATTTTTGTAGGTGGAGCGCTTTAGTCAGGAGGTACAGGTTCCAGAGGCTCGCTGTTTCTATGGCTTTCAAATTCTCATCGAGAATGTCCACTCAGAGATGTACAGTTTGCTAATAGACACTTACATCAGAGATCCCAAGAAAAGGTATTACCACTGGGATTTTATTTACAGAGACTTATGCTATTGCTTATGTTAAGAGCAGAATTTACTCCAAAACCAAATGTCAGGGAAAAATTATTCAAATGCTTTTTATTGTTTAATAATGTGTTGGGTTAAAAAACTTGTATAGAACCAGTTCATCTTTGGGTATTATGGCTTTAAAAACTGCACATTCTGTTTAGAAATTGAATACTGACTTTATTTCTTTAAATATTTTACTTAAATTCACCTTGCCAACATATAGTATAACACCCAGTGCTCATCCCATCAAGTGGCCTTATGGGTGCCCATCACCCAGTTACCCCACCTCCCCCTCCACCTCCGCTTCTGCAACCCTTTGTTTCCCAGAGTTAGGAGTCTCTCATGGTTTGTCTTCTGCTCTAATTTTTCCCCCACTCATTTTCTCTCCTTTTCCTTATAATCCCTTCCATTATTTCTATATTCCACATATGAGTGAAACCACATATGAATATTGACTTTAGTCAATTTTGTGTCAGACCAGATCCAAACCGCTAATTTGAATTTTAGTTTCATTTCTTAACTTTGTGGGCATGCAAAATATAGAAAAACGACAGATCCGGTAGCATATCATAGAGTTGCAGTTATTATTGATGATTAAACTAATGAAAATTTATTCCAATTAAGAAAAATGACTAACTTTGCCATTAATCCTTTGGTTTTTACAGGGAATTTTTATTTAATGCAATTGAAACAATGCCATATGTTAAGAAAAAAGCAGACTGGGCCTTACGATGGATAGAAGATAGAAAATCTACTTTTGGTAAGTAGCTGTAATTTAAAAATGATCAAACTTGCCTCAGTTGACATAACACTTTTTATGTGGTGTGACTATCAGGTACTAATCAGAGTCCCAGAATAGAAAAGGATACAAAGGTCTCCGCATCCACTTTTTAGAATCATTATTCCTAATGCTTAGGAACCAGTGATAAAATCATATAAAGTTGTTACCTATTTTGTTTAATAAGTTGAAAGTTGAAAGGTTAAGGTGTTAGTACATAAGTAGAGGTAAAGAGAAGTCATATAGAATCTGACAAAAATATTGTAGCAATCACAATTTGTCTCTGCTTTCATAAATATTTAAGAGAGTTAAAGCAAGTCAAAATCATATTTTTTTCAGGGAACAAATATGTAGTTTCTGGAAAACTATACATATTACTTGCTCAATAAATATTTAATTTAAAATATTCAGATATCCATTTATCTAGCTCTAAGTACCTCTCATTCTTATCTATTTCATAATTAGTTGTCTTTACTTTCTGGTTTTATTCATTATGGAGGAAGCAAGTCTCAAAATTTTTGGTCTCAGGACTTCTTTGTACTCTTAAAACTTATTGAGGATTCTCCTGTTGGTGTGGTTTACTGATTATTTCCATATTATAAATTAAAACCAGGAAAGTTAAAATATTTATGAATGCATTTTAAAATAGCAGTAATAACCCATTATATTTTATTAATAGCATGTATTTATGAAAAAAAAACTATTTCCCTCCTCCCCCAAATTTTGCAAACCTTTTAAATGTCTGACTTAATAGAAGACAACTGGATTGAATCTCCTTCCACATTCAATTGTTGCAGAATATTGATGTAGTTTATCATATAGTTATGAAGAAAATCCAGTCTTAATCAGATGTGTAGTTAGAAAAGGGAAGACTATTTTACCAGGCTCCTCAGATTATTGTGGATATGTCATGTAGTATCTGGAAATCACAACTGTACACTCATGTGAGAATTGTGGTTAAAAAAATAATAATGCCTTAGCATTGTTATAAAAATAGTTTTGACTCCACACACCTCCTCAGTCTGTGGATTTACAGAAACACACTGAGAACCAATGATGCACAGTAAGGTATGGGGGAAGCCTGTTACATATTAGGGAAGAAACAGATGTGTTTTCAATGCCTTCAGTTCATTTGAAGAATGAGAAAAGTGATCATTCTCAATGTGCATAAAAATTATCTGAGAGTTTGAAGAAAAACCCTGCAGAATCCTGGTCCTCACCAGAGAGAGAGATTTAGAAGGCCTGGGGAGGACTGAGGAATCAACATTTTATACCCAGCTGATTTTCTCACAAATGGTTTGAGAAACACTGGCTGGCTTTAAAGACAAAAGGAGAGAAACATCAAGGTGTTCAATACATATTGAAAAGAGTATATAGATAGATACCAATGGAAAATGATGAACACAGGCTCACAGCAAGCATGTATTTCATAACTGCCAAAGAAAGTAACCTAGAGGGATGCCTGGGTGGCTCAGGGGTTGAGCGTCTGCCTTCAGCTCGGGGCATGATCCCAGGATCGGGGTTCAAGTCCCACATCTGGCTCCCTGTGAGGAGCCTGCTTCTCCCTCTGCCTGTGTCTCTGCCTCTCTCTCTCTCTCTCTCTGTGATTATCATAAATAAAAAAAATTAAAAAATAAAAAAATAAAAGATTTATTTATTTATTCATGAGACAGAGACACAAAGAGAGAGGCAGAGACACAGGCAGAGGGAGAAGCAGGCTCCATGCACCGGGAGCCCGACGTGGGATTCGATCCTGGGTCTCCAGGATCGCGTCCTGGGCCAAAGGCAGGCGCCAAACCGCTGCGCCACCCAGGGATCCCCAATAAATAAATCTTTTTTAAAAAAGATAAAGTAACCTAGAGAGAAAATTGAGGAGGATGGCAGTCACCATGTGACAACAGCAGGGCTCTAGGTAAATTCTCCATATTGCTTGCTCTCAAGCAAACCCATGCTGCAGATGCAGAAAAAAAACATTGAACAGAATTCAATATCCATTTATCATAAAAACCCAAGAAAGCAGATATGGAGGAAAAATACCTCAGCATGATAAAGGCCATGTACGACAAACTCACAGCTAACATACTCAACTGTGAAGAGCTGAAAGCCTTTCCTCAAGATCAGGAGCAAGACAAGGATGCCCACTCTTGCCATTTTTATTCAACATAGTATTAGAAGTCCTAGCTAGAGCAATTAGGCAAGAAAAAAAAAAGGCATCCAAATAGGAAAGGAATAAGTAAAACTCACTATTTGCAGATGACGTGCTATATATAGAAAATCCTAAAGACTCCATTAAAAAAACTATGAGAACTAATAAACAGGTTCAGTGAAGTTGCAAGATACAAAATTAGTATACAGAAATATCTTGTTTCTATATGATAATAATGAGCTATCAGAGAATTTAAACAATCCCATTTACAGTTGCATCAACAAGAATAAAATATTTAGGAATAAGTTTAACCAAGGAGATGAAAGACCTGTATATTGAAAACTCTAAGATATTAGTAAAAGAAATTAAAGACACAAATAAATGGAAAGATATTCCATGCTCACAGATTGAAAGAATCAATATTGCTAAAATAAAATATCCATTATACCAAAAACAATCTACAGATTAAATGCAATCCCTATCAAAATTCCAATGGCATTTTTCAAGAAAGTAGAACAAATAATACTAAAATTTATATGGAACCACAAAAAAATCCCAAATAGGCAAACATCTTGAGAAAGAATAAAGCTGGAGGCATAATGCTCCCCGATTTCAAACTATCTTACAAAGATATTATAATCAAACCATTATTGTATTGGTATAAAAAACAGATCAATGGAACAGAATAGACAGCCCATAAGTAAACCCATGCATATATGTTCAATTAATTTATGACAAAGGAGCCAACAATATACAATGGGGAAAACACAGTCCTCTCAATAAATAGTATTGAGAAAAATGGACAACTGCAAGCAAAAGAATGAGACTGAATTGCTTTCTTACACCACACACAAAAATTAACTCAAAACAGATTAAAGATTTGAATGTATGGCCCAAAACCATAAAACTTCTGGGTATTTATCTGAAGAAAATTAAAACATGAACTCAAAAAGATATATGCACCCCCATGTTCATTGCAGCATTATTTATAATAGCCAAGATAAGGAAATAACCTGAGTTCCCATCAATGGATGAATGGATAAAGAAAATGTAGTGTGGGGGGGTATAATAATGGCATATTATTTAGTCATAAAAAAAGTGAAATCTCACCATTTGCAACAACATGGATGGAGCTAGAGGGTATCATGCTAAGTGCCATAAGTCAGACAGGGAAAGACAAATACTATATGATCTCTCTTATATGTGAAAACTAAGAACAAAAAAAAACTAAAAACTAAAATCTAAGCTCATAGATACAATAGATTGGTGATTGTAAGAAGTGGAGCATAGGGGTCAGGAGAAATGAGTGAAAGCAGTCAAAAGGTTAAAAGAAAAAGGTCTGTATAGCTTACTTGGACAAATGTCAGTGATCAGAAAAACAAATAGGCTAATGGGTAAACTTTTGGGAAAAAAAAAAAGAATAAACATTTCCCATTACAGTTGACTCTTGAACAACGTGGGTTTGACTTATGTGGGTCCACTTATATGCAGATTTTGTCGATAAATATAGTACAGTACTGTAAATGTATTTTCTCTTTTTTCTTATGATTTTCTTTTTTTAAAACAAAATTCTGCATTTTTATAAAACTTGATAAAAAATAGTATTTCAAACTGTACAGTCACCAGAAGTACACAGTTATCAAAAATGCACACACTTCACTTGGCATCTCCAGCACCTTCAGCTTTTTCTGCCTGATCTGTTTTGGCATCTCCATTTTCTGCAGGGTTATTTCCATCCTTGCCAGAATCAGCCTTCCCCTTTTAGCTTTGGGTACTTTCTCTCCCTTCTTTACAGGGGCCTTTTTTAGGCTTGGGATCTGGCTTTGGAGGAGCAGGTTTAGCAGATAACCTTGCAGATCTTCTCTGTGGCTCATCCTTCACCTTGGCTTTATCTCCTTTAGCATCCCCTTCAGCCTTTCTCTTGGGCATGGTGGCGACGGCAGTGGAATGTAAGCGCTGGACGCGGGGATGCAGCGGCACACAGGCTTTGGCCCGTCCTGGGGTCGTTCTTGCCTCTTCTTCACACCGCTTGGGCTCCGGGGGATTTATAAAGTTTTTATCTCTTATGATTTTCTTAATAAAAATTTCTGTAGCTTTATTGTGAGAATACAGTATATAATGCATATAACACAAAAAAAAAATAGGTGTTGGCTGTTATCTATAAGGCTTCCAGTCAACAGCAGGCTATTATAGCTAAGTTTTGGGGGAGTCAAAAATTATAACTACACAAGGACTTAGCACTCTTTTTTTTTTTTATTTTTTATTTATGATAGGCACACAGTGAGAGAGAGAGAGAGGCAGAGACACAGGCAGAGGGAGAAGCAGGCTCCATGCACCGGGAGCCGGACATGGGATTCCATCCCGGGTCTCCAGGATCGCGCCCTGGGCCAAAGGCAGGCGCCAAACCACTGCGCCACCCAGGGATCCCGGACTTAGCACTCTTAACTCAGGGGGTCAACTGTACATACAAAAAAAAAAAAAAAAAGCTAGAATTTCACATATTTTGTACAAGACCCTGAGAACAAATAATTGAGAGTATCATTTTAAAGAATAGGCTTTGGGGGGAGCTGGGTGGCTCAGTCAGTTAAGCATCAGACTGTTGGTTTCGACTCAGGTCATGATCTCAAGGTTGTGAGATCGAGCCCCACCTTAGGCTCTGTACTCAGTGGGGCATCTGCTGGAGACATAAATTTGTACATCACAAGAATCTTTCATTATGTAGGACCCACAGAACAAAGAACTATACATTCTGAGTGAAATTATTGAAATGAAAAGTTAAAGGAAATATGGCAGAAATAAAGTTACCTCTTAAAAAAAAACTGTATCGTACTTTCTCATCTCTAAAATGATGAGGCCTTCACATTCATTAAAGCTTTTAGAAGAAATATTTTGGAAGTCTTTTAAGAAGTCTTTTAAATTTACATCTACTCCTGAAATTTGTAAAGTTTACCTCTCTTAATCCTTTAATTCTTTCCAAAAATAATTGCCTTCTATAATGATTTTTGTCCTGATTTTCATTCTATAGCATTTACATGAATGCATAGAATAGTTAAAATAAAAATTTCCTCTTATTCACAATGTTTGTGTTATAGTCTAGTTCTCTTACATTTATGTGACAATGGAGAATGCATCAATTGTAACTATTATCTTACTAATAGCAAGATGAAAATACAATCTATATGTTAAAATAAGGAATCCTCATCTTAAAAATATAGCTAGTCTAAAAAAATTTTTTTTTAATTTTTATTTATTTATGACAGTCACACAGATAGAGAGAGGCAGAGACACAAGCAGAGGGAGAAGCAGGCTCCATGCACCGGGAGCCCGATGTGGGATTCGATCCCGGGTCTCCAGGATCGCGCCCTGGGCCAAAGGCAGGCGCCAAACCGCTGCGCCACCCAGGGATCCCTAAAAAATATTTTTTAAAAAAGATTTTATTTATTTACTTGAGAAAGAGAGAGAGTACAAGTGGGGTGAGGGACAGAGGAAGAAGCAGACGCCCTGTTGAGTAGGGAGCCCGATGCGGGACTTGATCCTGTGACTACAGGGTCATGACCTGAGCCGAAGGCAGACACCCAACTGACTGCCACCCAGGTGCTCCTAAAGAGGTGTTTTTAAGACTCAGCAGACCATAGTGATTATTATTATATTTTGTATTTAGTACACTAAAGAGTCTTAATTCCTTCTACACAGTCAATACTCAGTAAGTACTTATTTAATTTACCTTTCTTCTGTTATTTTTTTTTCAAAATGACTTAAAATTGTATCTGTAAAAATGAAATGCTATAGAAGTTTTTCTGACCTTTTGGGCTTCTAATAGGCAAATATTTGATATAATCTGATTTGATTTATTTAAGATAATCAGAGAAAAGAATGAGGACAAACCAGAGCACTATTTACAGACTGCCAGAAATATTTAAGTCATCTTTCTTTTTGAAGTTTAAATATTATAATTACCTTTGTTCTGAAAGTTTTGAGTATTCTGGATCAGATTTTAGCAGCTTTCATAGAATGAATAGTAATGTTTGTCATCTGGTGCTTAGATATTTTCCACTGATTCAGTTCAGTACACATTTATCAAGCACCTACTCTGTGTTTGGTGTGACAGTACTGGGATACAAGCTATGATGTTATTGATGAAACAGACCTGTCATTTAAGCACTCCATTGCCTTTATCCTCACAGTCTTATAAACCAAACCTTTCTCCCTAGACAGAAACATATATAAATTCTTCTCCTGAGCATATGCAATGTGGTGACATTTGTTTGGGTTAGACTTATAATTAACCCCTAGAGACAGTATTACAGATATAGTTCCATTATATACCTTTGAGGAGATGGACTTCTGCACAGTCCTTGCCTAACAGTGAGTAGTCTCTGAAATTGGGCCTGAAATTTAGCAGGAGATAGTATTTTTGCTTATGTGCTGGGATATTTTATCCAATAGATATACTTATTATCTTAGCTGGACTTACATCTTTTTTTAAATTGCAATGCATGACAATGTTTTGTGAAATGTTTACTACTAATCTGTCAGATATCTTAGGTTTCTAAAAATAAAAACCTCAGCCACCTCCCCTCCCTTAACCATAAAGAAGGAGACATTTGTCCTAAAAACTTATCTTCTACTCTACCCAATACATGCACACACTTATATGCATATACTATACTCATAGGCACATGTGGTGCACAGATAAATCACCTCTTTCCTTTGAGTAGGGAAAGATCTCCTTTGTCCAGATACCAAGACCTATAGGAGTCCAATGTCTGACATAAGATTTGAAGTAGACATACCTACATACTTTTCTGTTGTAGTAGGTAGAGGTAGCATATTTCCTCCTCTGAAGACCCTTGGCCATGGCACTAATTTATTGATTTTGTTTCTTGGCAAAATAGTTGTGATATTGGTATAAATATATGTAAAAATATGTATTTTTTATATGGAAGCTTGAAAATGTCTACGAGATGTTTTATTTCAGAAAATAAAACTATTTTATTTCTCCCAGGGGAAAGAGTCGTGGCTTTTGCTGCTGTAGAAGGGATTTTCTTCTCTGGATCTTTTGCTGCTATATTCTGGCTAAAGAAAAGAGGTCTCATGCCTGGACTCACTTTTTCCAATGAACTCATCAGCAGAGATGAAGTAAGGAATGAAATACTCTTCTAGTGATATTTGTATTCATATTTGGTGTTCATTTATTTTTCTTTCTGCAAAATGCTGATGATGGCCCACAAATATCCTGGCAATTAAAAGAAAATAGGAAGTAATTTCTTCCTTGGTTTTTAGGACATTGTATTTTTCCCCTGCCTCTTACTGTTCCTCCTGTCTCCCCTGCTCATCCTTATATATCATTAAATCCCAGGTCCCCACCTTAGCCTCTGTCCTTCACTCTACATGACCACCTGGCTGATCTTATCTGTTTCCATGGGATCAGCTACCATTTAGATGCTCGTAAACAACCCAGACTTGAGCACAGATATTCTTTCCTGAGCTCCAAACCCATGTGTTCAAGTACATGTTAGTTTCTCGTAGAAGGCTCCACAGAAATTTCAAACGTGTTATTTCAGAAATCAAACTTACGATCTTTCTCCCCAGATTCATTCTTCTGTTTTCCCTGTCTCATTGAGATGCTACCTTCTATCCAATCCAAATTTGAAATCTGGGAGTCATTTTAGATCACTTTTTTTTTTCTTTCTCAGCCATATCCAGCCAGAAACTAAATCTTGTCTCCCTTTGCCTGTGATACCCTTTCCATATTCCTGCCATTTTTTTCCTGTTGATTACCTTCTCACAAGTGGCAACTCAAAACTTCACTGACTCAGTGGGGTAAAATGAACCACTCTTTCCTTTATGTATCCCTTTGAAACCAGAACCTGTCCCTTTCTTAGAGTCTGTAATGTGTGCTGCACTTCTTGCCTCTCTCCTCTGCTGGACTCTAGGCTCCCTGTGTGTGGACATCTTGTCTTATTTGTCTTCCTGTTCTCAGGGGTTAGCCCATCACAGCCTTTAGTTCACGTTTATTGCCTACACTAATCCTGGCCCCCCAGCTTATTTCTAAGTGACCTTGTCAAGTTACTAACTTCTCCGAGCCTCAGTTTCTTCAACTATATACCTCGATAGTGTTTTGTTAAAATAAAATGAACCCGTATGTATGAAAATGCTTTTTAAGTGCCATAAAATGCTTTGTATAATATGTTGCTTCATGTTGTTCAATTTCTAATATTTTTATCATAAATGTCATATGTGATGATTACAGGGAATTAAGAGAATAAAATTACTCAATCTTAACAGAGATAACCACTTTTAGTATTTCATTGTATTTCTTATTAGACAGTTTTTTACATTTAAACCTATATAGATATATGTGAACATCATGATTTTGTAATTTGAAATATTCTGCTTTTTTCATATTTTTATGAGCTGAGATTTTTCTGTAGCAGACATTGTGAGCATTTTTCTGTGAAATTAAGCATTTCTGGGGGAAGTTTTTTTTTTAAAGTTTTATTAGGTACAACATTATAATAAATCAGTATATCCCTTATTTGACTATACTATAATTGTAAATTTAAGCTGTTTCTAGGTTATTTGCTATAATGCAAATGAATGTCTTTTGTGTATAAGCTTTATCCCAATTTCACATTATTTTCCTAAGCTAGATTGCCTAGAAGTAGAATCACACATTATAAGGTATGAACATTTTGAAGGTCATCCATACTAATTTCCAGATTTCTTCCCAGAAATTTTATAGAAAGCTCCCCTCAGCAACATATGAACATGTCTTTTCTTACCTAACCTCACCAAAATTTGGGTTTACGTTTTAAATATTTGCCAAATTTGATAGGGATAATGCTTTCTCATTATTGGTTTTATTTGCATTTATTTGATTACTACTTAGATTGAACTTTTTTTTCATAATGACATTAGTCATTTGTATTTTTTTCTGTATTTACCCATTCTTGTCTTTTGTCTCTATTTCTGTTGGTATATATATATATATATATATATCCCAGTGCATAGTGACTGGGAATGGTGCATAGTGACATAGTGAGCTTTCAATAACTGTTTGTTTATTGTTTACTGAGTTTGATTATATTTATTGTATGAATATAATATAGAATACTATTTTTGTCGTATTTATTACGAATATTTTCCCAATTTGTCCTTTGTTCTTATAACATAAAAACCTGATATTGTTGTGATCCACTTCCAGAGATGAGTTAAGGAATCACACATATTTTCCTCTTGACTTTATAACATCTAACTCTGAAATACATTCGGAATTTGTTTAGTATAAGTATAGAATTAGGTATAAATATTGTAAAGAATGTTAGAATTTGGGATCCCTGGGTGGCGCAGTAGTTTAGCGCCTGCCTTTGGCCCAGGGCGCGATCCTGGAGATCTGGGATCGAATCCCACGTCGGGCTTCCGGTGCATGGAGCCTGCTTCTCCCTCTGCCTGTGTCTCTGCCTCTCTCTCTCTCTCTGTGTGACTATCATAAATAAATTTAAAAAAAAAATTTAAAAAAAAAGAATGTTAGAATTTAATGAGATTTTATTTCATGCAGTCTTAGGAAGTTTTTCTGGTTATCTTTGTTAAGTATTCCATCCTTCTTCATTGACTTGTGGTGTCTTCTTTATTATATAGTAAGAGTTTTTTTTTTTTTCTTTAAAGATTTTATTTATTTATTCATGAGAGACACAGAGAGAGAGAGAGAGAGGCAGAAACAGAGGCAGAGGGAGAAGCAGGCTCCATTCAGGCAGCATGACAAGGGACCTGATCCCCGGTCTCCAGGATCACACCCCAGGCTGAAGGTGGTGCTAAACCGCTGAGCCACCAGGGCTGCCCCAGATCTAGTTAAGGTTTTTAAGTGTACTAAAATCTGTTAGGGGCCATTTTTTCCTTTCATTAACCTATCAAATTTCATGTCAAAGAACTTTTTTTTTTTTCTTGAGGAAGGGAAGGGACAGAGAGAGAAAGCAGAGCCTGACACAGGGCTCGATTTCACAATCCTGAGATCATGACTTAAACCAAAATCAAAAGTGAGACGCTTAACTAACTGAGCCACCCAGGTGCCCCTAGACAGTTTTAGTTATTGTAGTTTTTTTGTTTTAATAACTAGTAGAATAAATTTCCTAACTTTCCTATTAAAACTGTTCTTTGAAGATTCTGCCCACTTATTCTTCCAGATTAATTTTTTATTTGAAATACATTTGACAGAACAGAGGGGAGGGGCAAGATGGAGGAAGAGTGGGGTCCCCAAGTCACCTGTCCCCACCAAATTACCTAGATAACCTTCAAATCATCCTGAAAATCTATGAATTCGGCCTGAGATTTAAAGAGAGAACAGCTGGAATGTTACAGTGAGAAGAGTTCACGCTTCCATCAAGGTAGGAAGATGGGGGAAAAAAGAAATAAACAAAAGGCATCCAAGGGGGAGGGGCCCCACGAGGAGCCGGGCTAAGGCCGGGGCGAGTGCCCCCAGGACAGAAAAGCTCCGTCCCGGAGAAGCAGGAGCTTCACCAATCTTCCTGGACAGAAAAGGGCTCACAGGGAATTAGAGCAAGACCCCAGGAGGGCGGGGATGCCCTCAGGCTCCCTGGGACACTAACAGAGCAACTGCGCCCCAGAGAGTGCGCCGAGCTCCCTAAGGGCTGCAGCGTGCACGGTGGGACCCGGGAGCAGCTCGGAGGGGCTCAGTCGGAGGCTCCGTGGAGGGGGCTGCGGGGCCCCGGGTGCAGCTCAGAGGCAGCTCCGGCAGAGGAAGAGGCTCCACGCGGAGGGCACTGCGCCCCTGGGAGCAGCTCGGAGGCGGCTCCGGCAGAGGAAGAGGCTCCCTGCGGAGGGGGCTGCGCGGGTCCGGGAGCAGCTCGGAGGGGCTCTGTCGGAGGCTCCGCAGAGAGGGGGCTTCCCCGCCGGGAGCGCGAATCCAACAGCGCAGGCCCCGGAGCACAGGACGCTGGGGACACAGCCCAGGATCCGACATCCCCCCGGGACAGGCAGAGGCCAGGAGGACCCAGGACAGCAAGGACGCTCCTGCCCTGACCTAAGCAGATCAGCGCCCCGCCCCCGGAGCATCCAGGCCTCTGAAGACCGAGAGCTCTGTAGTTACCGCGGGAGCTGACTCCAGGGCTCCAGAGCTGGCCGCTGCCACTGCGGTTGTTCCTCCTGGGGCCTCACGGGGTAAACAACCCCCACTGAGCCCTGCACCAGGCAGGGGGCAGAGCAGCTCCCCCAAGTGCTAACACCTGAAAATCAGGACAATAGGCCTCTCCCCCAGAAGACCACCTAGACGGACAAGTTCCAGGGGAAGTCAAGGGACTTAAAGTATACGGAATCAGAAGATACTACCCCGTGTTTGTTTGTTTTTGCTTGCTTCCCCCACCCTGTTTTTTCCTTTCTTTCTTTTTCTTTCTCTTTTTCTTCTCTTTTTTTCTTTTTTTCTTTTTCTCTTTTCTTTCCTTCTTTCTCTCCTCTCTTTTTCTCCTTTTCCCAATACAACTTGTTTTTGGCCACTCTGCACTGAGCAAAATGACTAGAAGGAAAACCTCACCTCAAAAGAAAGAATCAGAAACAGTCCTCTCTCCCACAGAATTACAAAATTTGGATTACACTTCAATGTCAGAAAGCCAATTCAGAAGCACTATTATAAAGCTACTGGTGGCTCTAGAAAAAAGCATAAAGGACTCAAGAGACTTCATGACTGCAGAATTTAGATCTAATCAGGCAGAAATTAAAAATCAATTGAATGAGACGCAATCCAAACTAGAAGTCCTAACGACGAGGGTTAACGAGGTAGAAGAACGAGTGAGTGACATAGAAGAAAAGTTGATGGCAAAGAGGGAAACTGAGGAAAAAAGAGACAAACAATTAAAAGACCATGAGGAGAGATTAAGGGAAATAAACGACAGCCTGAGGAAGAAAAACCTACGTTTAATTGGGGTTCCTGAGGGCGCCGAAAGGGCCAGAGGGCCAGAATATGTATTTGAACAAATCCTAGCTGAAAACTTTCCTAATCTGGGAAGGGAAACAGGCATTCAGATCCAGGAAATAGACCCCCCCTAAAATCAATAAAAACCGTTCAATACCTCGACCTTTAATAGTGAAGCTTGCAAATTCCAAAGATAAGGAGAAGATCCTTAAAG